GAGAAATAAAAGTTTGTTGTTTAAAGACACTGACTGGGATTCTTTGTGACTGCAGCAAAGTTGACAAATACAGAAACTAACAGAAATGGCAATAGACTGCATAACAACCTTTAAACCTCAGTGACTTACAACAACAAATATTTATTTCTCTGCTCATACTACATGTGTCTCTGCTCTAGAATGTGGGTCAGATTCATGTCTGCTTCATTGTCTTTTTATTCTAGATCTCGGGCTGAGGATACATTCTATGTCTGAAGCATGTTCTTATAAAAGAGAGCACAGGGAATAAGAGGTCTGGTAGAAACTTGCAATGCTTCTAAAAGATACTGCTCAGAAATGACATGGCCAACACCTAAAGTCAGTAAGGAGGAGAAAGTATACTTCATCTATAAGAAGTGAAGGAATAAACAATTGTGATTGATAGTACAATAAGCCACATTTAGTGTGTTTTATCCTTGTACTAGCTGTACTTTATATAACTTACACCTCACACCAATCCAGTAAGAAAGATATTATCTCCATATTTTAAAAAATTGTGGCTCAGAAGAGTAATGTAATTTGTGCAAAAGTATTCTGAAAATGTATAAATGAAGGTCTGGGGCCCAGGTCCAGGGGTAGGTGACTCCAAAGCACTTACTCTTATCCTCACCCCACACTCACACAATGTTTTTTTCTGTCAAATTTTAAGCATTAACTTAACAGGTGGGATCTCTGCTTGTGTAAAGCCAAGATTGGCTATAAAAGACTTCAATAGCTAACCTTTCTAAGTGAAATAGGGCAATGTAAGTATAGTAAAAAGAGGGAAACATCTATGAAAAAAAGACTTACAGAAAGACAGACAGGAATGGGCACAACAATGAGAAGGTATGAGAATGAGAACCCAAGGAACTGGAAAATAAGAAGAGAAATTGATAGCACTTCTCAAGGCAAGAGCACTTACAAAAATAGCTTGCCTCAGGGGAAAACATCTTAGACTCTGATTTCACAGGCCATAAGAAAAGCACTAGGGTGTTTCCCTTTTCTTTAAAAAGTGCACACCCAGTTTTTTGTAGCTGCCTAAATACTACCGTGTACTCACTATCGTGCCTGCTTTGAGTCTGGCAGTCACTAGTTTATGGTCATCAAGTGCTTTTTAAAATATTAAAAAAAATGCCATCCCTAATGCACCTGAATGAGTTGCTCTCAACATATTTAAGAAGTCATTTCTCATCTGAGTCACGCCTTTGGGGCTCCAGCCCATTATAACTCTGCCTGCCAATTACTACCACAATTGTAATCCTATTTGGAATATTAACACACTATTGTAGCAATATAACTTCTAGTTGTTATTATTTTTTTAATTCAGTAATTTTAAACTGATTAGATACATAATTAAGCCAGCAGAAAACTTTCTAACCACCAGGTAAGTAGTAATTAGAGTTGTAGAGGCACACCATGGGACATTAGCTCTTGCAACAGAAAGCTGGAGAATCTTATAGCAGGCCTTTGCGCCAGTTAGCTAAACTGCTCCTAAAGAAAAAGCAAACAATCTCTAAGTAGTGTAGCTCATTACTAGTAATTAAGCCATGTACAAATGTACCGTGCTATTTTGTTTGTGTGTATTTGAAGATCCTGTTACTCTAGAACACAATGGGGGAAATTTTTAAAGAAAAACAAGCAAATATTTTCCCAGATATAGAAAAAAAACTGGAGCAGTCAGTTAGTTATCCATACAACCTGGGCCTGATTATTCTTCTCTTTGACCCCACCTACTTTTTCCCTAAATGTTTCTATATCGCTAACTAATCATAATCTTCCAATAAAATGACTACGCTATGTTTACCTAAGATGGCTTTGGCTATTTTTCTGCAATTCAAACTGTCAAATAAATCACATGGTAGATCAAATCAAAAAGGACCATTTGATGCAAATGTAATCTATCTCCGAAATATTATCCTCTTCATGCTCAGGCACCAGTGGATTATTATAATAAATAATTATCCTAAAGTTCCACTGATCCCTTTCACAGATAACTCAAATGGGAGAAAACTTTTACTAACATAGTATGTGTCTGTGCATACTCAAGTACAATCTATCAAGGTAAACCTATGACCTATTATTATTATTATTATTATTATTATTTATGTTTGTAGGTAGATGATATTATAAACATATTTATCAAATTCAAATTAGTCAAAAGGTGACAGTAAGAAATCTAACTATGAAATATGCATAAAATCTCTTATTCAAAATCTGTAATTATGCAAATAGAGACTAGATGGGGTGTAGCAGAAAAAATATAGTGCTTTAATTCTAGATCTTTTGTGTGACCTTGGACAATTTAGTTAATTTCTCTGAGCTTTGGATTTTTAATTTTTAAATGAGGTAATATTGAAAATATAAGATTAAGGGAGATAATAGTTATACTAGTGGCCCGGTGCATGAATTCGTGCACATTGAAAGGAAATTAATTAGAAGAAATATTTTAATATTATAATAGAAGTGTCAACCAAATTCATGATCAGCAATGACAGATGGAAACACATGCGTGCGATTGGCCCCAGCAAGGGCTTATATGTATTGCACATGCATGAGTCAACTTAGCCTTTTATAGATATAGAATAAACTTGCTTAATTAGACTAGCTTTCTGATTTAGCTAAACTTTTCCCAGCCCAGTGAAGCACTCCAATTTCTCTTTCAGATAATTGTCAGTAACACAGCAGTAAATATCAACATGAAGCTGATTATTATTGTAGATCACACAGGGAGAACAAAGGGTAAAATACTTAACTGCAGCAGTATTTGACTATATTCTGTGCAGTGAGAAAACCTGAAGTCATTTTCAAGGTCCACCATTTCTTACTTCTTTTCAGTTGGGTCAAGTTTCTAAACTTTCTAAATCTCCATTTTTCAGCTAATGAAAAGAAAATAGGATTCCACCAAGTCTCCTATCTACCTACTCCAGGACTTCTGTGAGGATCAAATGAAATGAGGCACGGGAAAACGCTTCACAGACATTTGGTTACAGTGTAAAGTGTTTCTACCTGGCTATAAAGCAAGTCGTGTTCCTGGGCTAAAGAAACTGCAAGGAGGCTAGTCGCTAGTCACTAGGGAGAGGAAGCAGGGCATTGCTACACCTGGATGGAGGGAAGGACACTTAGTATATTAGCCTTTTATATATATAGATAACGCTCACTGGGCAAGGCTTAGCACATGGCAGATACTCACTAAGTGTTAGGAAAGGTTTAACTGACTTGAAAATAGTATAGATTAGAATATATTTATAAATATTTTTTAAAGCGACAATTTAGAATTCTGGTCAAAGATGAAGCAATTTTTTCTAAACTCTTCTGCCTTGAAAACAACCAAAAAGAATGAAAAATGTGGGTAGTGGGGGGGTCCTTAATGAAGAAATGAAACACCTATGTATAAGCTCATACCACAAAATGAAGACTATATGCCAAATATATTGAAATCTAAACCAGAATAAAGGAGAATGATTACAAAATGACACTTATCTCCTCAGACCTCAAGCAAGAATCAATTTCTCTAAAAGTAAATACCACAGTCCAAAAGAATATCAAATGATCCTTTGATTAAAGTGATATGATCTAGGTGCATGAGAACAGCAGAAGTAGGGAATATTCCTGTGAAGACCCAGTTCCACATAGGAACTGCAGGTGAAGTTGAGCTGAATAAGGAAGAAATATACAGATATACCATCTTGTCTATAATCTAATCTCCTAAAACACTGCCTGGGGTGAAGGAAAGGAAGCAGAGATGACCAGATCACAGCACAGATAGCCTGACTTAAGGTGGTTCATTGTAAACCACACCAAACTTCTAATGCCAGAAACTAAGAAGAGATATAAGCAGAATGAAAGAAAAATCATTGAGGTTTTTCATGACAACAAATACCAATTTTAAAAGTGCTAAATTTGCCCCTAATATTGTTTTTCAGCAAATAAATAACCAGTATAAATATGCCCCCATCTGAAGATAAGCAGTAAGAAAGGAATTAGCACAGGAACTATATAAATACATAATGGAAAATGAGATATTAAAGACACAGATCACACATTAAAAGAATAATAATTTCCTCCCTTGCTCAAGGAAACAAAGGAAGAATTTAGACAATTATTTCTCCTCAGTCTCAAATAAAAATAACATGATCTCTGTGAGGGAGAAAAAAAAGAACTCAAAGAAAAGATAAAGAGATCAAAGAAGAGATAAGACAACAGTAGTTGAAAAGTGAGCTGGCAAACTCAGGAAAGAAAGGGAAGAAGGAAAATCAAGCCATTACAAAGATAAAACTCTCATTAGATGTAGAAAAAAAATGTGTGTTAACAACTGAAACTAGGGCACAGAGGGAGGATTGAGGAAATCACTTAAAAAGAAATGGTAAAAATGAACAGAAAGTATTGGATATAAAACTGATAATTAAGAAAACAATGGAGATACAACATTTATAATTACTGATTTTAAAGAAGAGACTTTTTTTTTAAATGAACCTCCACAAAAAATTACTTATATATAACACAAGAAAGTAATCCATGCCCTAGTTGGTCTGGCTCAGTGGATAGAGTGTTGGCCTTCAGACCAAAGGGTCCTAGGTTCGATTCTGGTGAAGGTCATGTACCTTGGTTGCAGGCTTATGCCTGGCCCAGGCCCTGGCTGGGGCTTGCAGAAGGCAACCAATGCATGAGGAAACTAATGCAGGGGGCAACCAATCGAAGTGTTTCTCTCACATCGATGTTTCTCTCTGTCTTTCCCTTCTCTTTCACTATCCCTAAAAATCAATGGAAAATTATCCTCAGGCAAAGATTAATATAAAAATAAAATAAATAAAATAAAAAGATCATTCTAAGTATTGCGACAATTCAAGGGAAAAAGTAAAATCTTTAAAAAAAAAAAAAAGTAATTCATGTCCCCAAGAGAAGGTAAAATATAAACATTAATGCTAAAATATATCCTGATATACTTTATAATTTAAAAGTTTACAGGTAAAAAAAAAAATTACCTGCAAACTTGGAAACAGAAGGGGTTGTTGCTGACCTCTGTCCTTGCCTCACCAACATTAAATGCCTGGAAAAAAAGTAGACAAAACTCTAGAATCCTGAAAGTAAGTGTGACCCAATAATCTTATACCCAGTTATCCTTCAAGTATAAAAGCAACAACACTAAACATATGCAAAGATATAAACATATCAATAATAATGATGCTTGCATATAAGAAAACAATACTTGAAGATAAAATCCAGCTATGCAAGGGATGAATCTAAGGAAGCAAGTACTAAAAGGTGAGCACTACAGACTTCATATACATGGACACCAGGTTGAGAACTCTTTAAAAAACTTGAAGCTGGAAAGAAGGATCTGAGATGGCCATATAATCTCATTCACTCTGCATTTATTGAGTTCTACTGTGTGTCAGGTTTTCTACTACTGTCATAACTAATTTAACATACATAGCTCAACCCTATGGGATAAATATTCTATTCTATTTTTTTAAATGAAGAATATGAAGTTAAAAGTCATACAGCTATTAAGTGTGGGGATCTCGACATAAATCCAAGTCTTCTGAATTCAAAACTCATTATCTAAACTGTGCCTCAAAGCTTCAACATAAACCACTGAAGATGCAGGCAGGGAAGGCTAACTTAGCATTTTACTACCTGAAAAGGCTTAGAATGGCTTCCTATTCCAAGGAAACAATAGATTTCCTTGTATGCTTTCTCTTCAAATTAATTTTTAAAAAGTGATAAGTGAACTAATCTCCCAGTTCCTCTGTCAACACTACTCTATTCAGGAAAGGGTTTGTTTATCCAATTAGATTTTTTAAATCCAAAGTACGATAAAAATAATAATAATAATAATAATAATAATAACAATAAAGCAAAGCTAACTAACTGGCTCATAATCCCATTGTTATGGACAGAAACAGAATATTGGGGACTAGCTATGCTTGTGGGAAATATTAATCATGCTCTGTTAACCATGATTGTCTTATGTTGGTTAAAAAAAAAAAAGGACATTCTAACCTGCTGGGAGTTGTACGTCCCCTGGACCTGGGAGTCAACCTTGGACCTGGGAGTCAACCTTGGGATGTGGTCCACTCTCATTCAAGACCTGCCTATTATCATGGAAAGACTAACAAGTATGTTGCCCAAGCAATGGAGTCCCACCAGAGTCGGCATTGCCTACTTCCCCATTCCTGTAATCCCTACCTCCCCATGTAATCTTTGCCCTACCCTATGTAAGTGGCTGGTTTGGGGGGCTGCAGAGCAGATTTCTGTGGATGACCTGCTGCTCTCCTATACTGCTGGCAGTATTGCTCATATATGATTCAACCCTGTCTCTACTTAACCGGCACAAGTAGTGATAGGCAGCCCAGACTCACTGATTGTCCAGTTACACCATGACCTGAATTTCATCTGCACTAGGCTCTAAAGTCAATTCTCCAAAACCAGAAAAGTTTACTTAGTTCTGTAAAAATCATTCAATCCTGGTGCCTAATGTAGTTAGACCTAGTAGTAATCTAGGTCACTTAATAATGAAAGAAAACTGTAGGTTTCTATAGTCTCCTTAGCAAATCTCAATTACTTACTGAGTCTTATTTAGAACATATCCATTATATCATGATTCAAATTTTTTTAAATAACAATATATATTCCAGAGTAACAGTAAAATTACTTTATAAAAACAAGTATAATTAATTACTTTATAAAAAAAGATAATATATCTTAATATATAAGTCCAAATAAAATGAAGACTCAATGAGACAAAGGTAGAGTTCAAAAATGTCCTCTCTTGCCCAGCTGGGTAGTTCAGTTGTTTGAGCATCGTCCTATGCAACAAAAAGGTTGCAACTTTGATTCCCAGTCAGGGCACATACCTAGGTTCCAGGTTCGATCCACGGAAGGAGATGGGTGGAGGGGGACAAAGGGGAAGAAGTGGGGGACATCTGTAATACTCTCAACAATAAAACAAATTTTTTAAAAATAAAAAATATCACTGGATGAGGATTAAAAACTTAATAATAATAATGTCCTCTCCAAAGGACCTAAATAGACACTTCTCCAAAGTAGACGACCAAGAGACATATGAAAAAATACTCAGTCACTAATCATCAGAAAGATGCAAATTAAAACAAGAATGAGGTATCACCTCACACCTGTCAGAATGGCTACAATCAACAAACAAACAAATGACAAGTTCTGGCGAGGATGTGGAGAAAAGGGAACCCTAGTACACTGCTGGTGGGAATGCAGACTAGTGCAGCCACTATAGAAATCAGTATGGAGTTTCCTCAAAAAATTAAATATTAGACTGCCATTTGACCCAGTGATCCCACTTTGAGGAATACATCCTAAGAAACCCGAAACACCAATCAAAAAGAATATGTGCACCCCTATGTTCTTAGCAGTGCAACTTACAATAGCTAAGATCTAGAAATAGCCAAGTGCTCATCAGTAGATGAGTGGATAAATAAGCCATGGTACATATACACAATGGAATACTTTGCAACAGTAAAAAAAGAAGGTTCTCTTACCCTTTGAGACAGCATGGAGGCACCTGAAGAGTATTATGCTAAGCAAAATAAGCCAGTCAGAGAAAGACAAGTATCACATGATTTCATTCATATGTGTAACCTAATGAACAAAATAAACGGAGGAACAAAATAGATCCAGAGACATGGAAGCATGGAACAGACTGCTGAATCTCAGAGAGAAGGTGGGGATGGGTGGGTGGGTGGGAAGAGATCAAGCAAAGAACTTGTATGGATATATGCATAACCCATTGACACAGGCAATAGTGTGGAGAAGGCCTGGGGTGGGGTATAGGGGTAGACAAGAAGAGGTCAATGGGGATAAAAACGGGGATATATGTAATACTTTCAACAATAAAGATTTAAAATCAATCAATCAATCAATAAAATCCTACCTAATAAAGAGGGAATATGTTAATTGACCCTCATGCTGTCGCAAAGATGGCAGTGCCCACAGTCAATAAGGAGGGAATATGCTAATTGACTGCCACACCCTCAAATATGGCGGCACCCACAGCCAAAAAGGAGGGAATATGCTAATTGACTGCCACGCCCTCAAAGATGACACTGCCCACAGCCACAAGATGGCGGCGCCCAGTCCCCTCAGCTCCACCGGCCCGGCCGCTCCACGCGCCTGCCTCCATAGTCCCCCAGTCCCCTCAACCCCCCAGCCACCTAGGGCCAGCCCGAGGCACAGGCAAGCCTCGGATGTCAGCTGCCCAGCCACCCAGGGCTGCCCGAGGCTCAGGTAACCAGGCCTGGCCAAGGCTTGTGCTGCCAGCAGTGGCAGCAGCAGAGGTGTGATGGGGCCATCACCTTCCCCTTATCACCAGGTCGCCTCCCACCCTGAGGGCTCCTGGACTGTGAGAGGGGGCAGGCCGGGCTGAGGGACCCCCCCTCCAGTGCATGAATTTTCATGCACTGGGCCTCTAGTTAAAATAATAATGCCCTATGCCCTAACTGGTTTGGCTCAGTGGATAGAGTGTCAGCCTGCGGACTGAAAGGTCCCAGGTTCGATTCTGGCCAAGGGCATGTACCTTGGTTGCGGGCACATCCCCAGTAGGAGGTGTGCAAGAGGCAGCCGATCGATGTTTCTCTCTCATCAATGTTTCTAACTCTCTATCCCTCTCTCTTCCTCTCTGTAAAAAATCAATAAAATATATTTTAAAATAATAATAATAATAATGCCCTCTCTTTTATAACATGACATGCCAATGTTTTTTAGCATTAGGCACACAATGCTATGAGCTGTGAATTACAAAGGTCTTAGAACAAATTCACAAAGTGTAATCACCCTTCACAGTTGAGATATTCTGTTTATTCTATGGAAAAACATTTCAGTTTAAATTAAACTTTGAAGCTTTTGGTGATTGCTGCAATAAGGACAAAACAAGGAAAAGAGAACATTTCATCATGTTCAGCACAATACAAGTACAATACATATTTCTGATAGAAATATCTTCAAGGAAATGAAATCACTGAGATAAAATTTCATTTACTACTGATGCCCATATTATCAAAAAATACTTAGACACAAAATTACATACCTTCATCAGTTTAAAACATAACATTTAGCACACTAATTATATTCTTTCAGAAGAAAATCATTAAAATGTTCAATATAAATTAAAAGTATATAATGTCAGTACCTTGGAAACATAATATCTAAAATTAAGTAAATATATCTTTAATATTTGTAGAATAATTTAATCCATGAGACTGAGTAAGATGCTATGTGACTATGATGGCTGAGAAACTGTATATTCCTAAAAATAAGGTAAGATAGAAGATTAATAGAATGTGCAATGAAGAGGATTAAGACCAACAAACTCTTTTCTTTTTCTTTTGACTTTTAGAAATGTATATTCTCTCCTTTTTAAATTTATTTTTATTAAATTTATTGGGTTGATATGGGTTAATAAAATTATATAGGTTTCAGGGGTACAATTCTATAATGAATCAAACTCTTGTATCTTAAGATCTGAAGTCATTCTGATATTTGAATTCTGAAGAAGTAAAAAATGAAAAACATGCTTAAAAGTCACCTATGAACTCCCCGTTAGCACTTTCCAGCAATTTGCTATATTTCCATCCTCAGATAAAGGTATTTAAAGTAAAAAAGATTTTTGCTCACTTCCACAGCACATATATTAAAATTGGAACGATACAGAGAAGATTAGCATGGCCCCTGTGCAAAGATGACACACAAATTTGTGAAGCATTCCAAGAAAAAAAATGAGTAATCCTATATAATAAAAGAGAAACATGGTAATTAACCATAACTTCGCTACCCTTCCCATTGGCTAATCAGCGAGATATGCAAATTAACTGCTAACCAAGATGGCGGCCGGAAGCCAAGCAGCTGAAGCAAACAGGAGGCTTGCTTTATCCAATGACGGAGGAAGCCAAGGTTCCCCGCCTGCCGCTGCTGGCCTCTGAGCTGCAGTCTAAGAAACAATGTTACAAATATAGAAGCTAAACAAAACCCCAGAAACCTGCTTTCAGTCAGCCGGCCTCAGAGCTGAAGCTGAAATAGTGTTTCAATTATAGAACCCAAACAAACTCAGATCAGCAGCCGAGGTCTCAGAGCTAGAGCCAAGCCTCAGAACTAAAGCCGGCTCTCAGTTCCAGTGACAGCCATAGAAGGTAAATAAATCCCAGAATAAAAAAAAAAAGAACAAAAGGAGGGGTTGGGAACTTCAGTAACCCACCAGCCTGAAAACGGCCCTCAGCCCCTCACCCACACTGGCCAGGCACCCCAGTGGGGACCCCACCCTGAAGGGGGTGTAACCAGGTGCAAACAGCCATCATCGTCTCATCCAGGCTGGCCAGGCACCCAAGCAGGACCCCCACCCTGATCCAGGACACCCTTCAGGGCAAACCAGCTGGCCCCCACCCGTGCACCAGGCCTCTGTCCTATATAGTAAAAGGGTAATATGCCTCCCAGCACCGGGATCAGCGGAGCTGCGAGGCCTCCCGAACCCAGGATCAGCGGAGCCGCGAGGCCTCCCGAACCCAGGATCAGCGGAGCCGCGAGGCCTCACGCTCAGGGATCAGCGGAGCAGCAAGGCCTCCCAGCACCAGGATCAGTGGAGCCGCAAGGCCTCACTGCCCCGGTGTCAAGCGGAGCCACAAGGCCTCCCAGAACTGGGATCAGCTGAGCCAAGAGGCCTCCTGGCCCCTGGAGCAGCACGACAGGGGGCAGCGCCCAAACCCCCTGATCGGCCCTGCTCTGTGTGTGACAGGGTGTGGCGCCCCAACCCCCTCATGGGCCCTGCTCTGTGTATGACGGGGTGGAGCCGCAACCTCCCCATCAGCCCTGCCCTGAGTGTGACAGGGGGGAGTGCCCCAAACCCCTGATCGGCCCTGCTCTGTGGGTGATAGGGGGCAGCGCCCCAACCCCCTGATCAGCCCTGCTCCGTGTGTGACAGGGGGTGGTGCCTCAACTCCCCTATCGGCCCTACTCTGTGCATGACAGGGGGGAGCTCCCCAACCCCCTGATGGGCCCTGCTCTGTACGTGACAGGGTACGGAGCCCCAAACCCCCTGATGGGCCCTGCTCTGTGCATGACAGGGGGCAGCATCCCAACCCCCTGATCGGCCCTGCTCTGTGTGTGACTGGGGTGGCGCCGCAACTTCCCCATCGACCCTGCCTTAAGTGTGACAGGGGGCGGTGCCCCAACCCCCCAATCGGCCCTGCTCTGAGCCCAACCAAGGGCTGAACCTAGGGATTGGGCCTGTCCTCTGCCACACGGGAGCGGGCCTAAGCCAGCAGGTCGTTATCCCCCGAGGGGTCCCAGACTGTGAGAGGGCACAAGTGGGGCTGAGGGACATCCCCCCGCCTGCCAGTGCACAAATTTTTGTGCACCAGGCCTCTAGTCCTATATAATAAAAGCCTAATATGCTAAGTGTCTGGTCGTTGGTCGTCCATTCAACCAATCAAATATGCTAATGATATGCTAAGGCCGCTCAACTGCTCACTATCACGTGCACTGACCACCAGGGGGCAGACACTCCAACTGGTAGATTAGCTTGCTGCTGGGGTCTGGTCAATTGGGACTGAGTAATAAGGGCCAGGCATGCCCTGGAGCCCTCCCACAGTCCTTCCCCGGCTGACCAAACTCCTGCGTCCCTCTCCGGCCCTGATGGTGCACCGGTGGGGTCCCTCAGCCTAGCCTGCACTCTCTCGCAATCTGGGACCTCTCAGGGGATGTCGGAGAGCCAGTTTCAGCCCAATCCTGCTCAACACAGGAGCTGCCCCCTGGTGGTCAATGCGCTCCCACAGGAGAAGTGCTGCTCAGCCAGAATCTGGGCTCACAGCTGGCAGCAGTAGGGATGTCTGACTGCCAGCTTAGGCCCGCTCCCCATGGGGAACGAGCCTAAGCCACCAGTGAGACATCCCCTGAGGTCTCCTGGACAACGAGAGGGTGCAGGCTGGGTTGAGGGACCCCCCCCAAGTGCATGAATTTTGTGCACTGGGCCTCTAGTAAATAAATAAAGTAAAAAAGATTTTAAAGATAGCATACCCTCATTGAAATCATGAAATTTTTTACATCCCAACAAAAATTAATATCTCTAACTTTTTATTTTATATTAGGGATTAGGGTACATGTTTAAGCAGGAAAGAGATATAAAAGGGAAATGATAATAGTATTATGTCATTTGGTGAAAACAAAATTGTTCAAATGCCACTTTTTAAAATAAACATGTTCTTCCTACAAAATATCAAGAAAAATCTCACACAAAAATAAAAATGAAGTTTCAAAGATAATTTTGAATTATGATTAGTTTTTGAAAACCAGTAGCACTACATTTTTTGAGCCTATGTTCTTCTCTTGTCTACGTTAACATAACATACCAATGATCAGATCAAAAGCACATAAAGTTTCAAGTAAACACATTATTAGGAATTTTAGTTTTTTATTTTTAAATCTCATCTGAGGATATGTTTTTATTGATGAGAGAGAGAGAGAGAGAGAGAGAGAGAGAGAGAGAGAGAGAGAGACTCACAACCTAGGTATGTGCCTTGATTGGAAATCGAACCCGCAACCTTTTGGTGTACAGAATGACACTCCAAGCAATCGAGCCACCAGCCAGGGCCACATAATTAGGAATTTTAAAATGAATCAATTCAGCCCCGCCAGTGTGGTTCAGTGGTTGAACATAGACCTATGAATCAGGAGGTCATGGTTTGATTCCTGGTCAGGGCACAGGCCCTAGTTTCAGGCTCGATCCCCAGGGGGAGGTGGGGTGCAGGAGGCTGCCAATCCATGATTATCTCTAATTATTGATGTTCCTATCTCTTTCTCCCTCTCCCTTCCTCTCTAAAATCAATTAAAAATATATATTTAAAAATAAAATGAATCAATTCAGGATCAATAATTGGCCATTTAAAGCAATGATTTGTCCATTATACTACATTTTTGACTCTACATTAGATACAATTAATAAAACAACACAGCACATAAGATACATAGGACAGGAGTGGGGTGGAGAGAGTCAACAGGGGAAAAGGGGGAAAATTTGTAAGACTTTCAACAATGAAGCTTAAAAAAATACATCCAACAAAATATACAAAATTTTATCATATTGTAAAAAGAACTCAAAATACATATACATTGAGAAGAGTCAGTGAAAAGGTTTCATTATTATTCCCAGTACATACTACCTCACGAGAAAAGCTTAAAAGTAAGGCTCACTTAACTGATTCGAAGTAACTTTATGTGCCAGCCACCTCACAATATTATTTAAAATAGTAAAGCAGTAATTATAGGATTTAAAACATTACTGGAAGAGATTAAAGAAGACCTAAATAAATAGATATATTATATTCATAGATTATAAGATTTAATATTGTTAAGACTGTTAAGACTGCAATGCTCCCCAAATAAATATACAGATTCAATACAATCCCTATTCAAATCAAATGGTCTATTTGCAGAAAATGGAAAAGTGGATCTTAAAATTCATATGAAACTTCAAGGAACCCTGAATATCCAAAACAATCTTGAAAAACAAGAACTAAGTTGGAGGACTCATAATTTTTAATTTCTAAATTTACTACAAAGTTACAGTAATCACATCAGTGTGGTACTGGCATAAGGATAGACATATAAATAAATGAAATAGAAAATGAGAGCCTAGAAGTAAACTTATGCATCTATGGTCAACTGATGATCAGCAAGAGTGCCAAGGCCACTCAATAGGGAAAGAATAGTGCCATAAAAATTGGATATTCACCTATAAAATATACTTCCGCACACTATATACAAAAAAAATAATAATAACTCAAAATAGACCAAATACTTAGGTGTAAGAACTGAACTATAAAACCCTTAGAGGAAAACATAGGGTTAAATCTTCATGGTTTTGGATCTAGGAACAGTTTTTTACATATGACACCAAAATAACAGGAAAATAGATACATTGGACTTCATCAAAACTAAAATATTTGTGTATCAAAGGATACTATCAAGAAAGCAAAACTTACAAAAGGGAAAAATATTATCAAATCATATATCTAATAAGGTTTTAGTACTCACAATACATGAAGAGCTCTAACAACAATGAAAAGGCAACCAATTTTATAATTAGCAAAATATTTGAATAGATATTTCCCAAAGAATATATACAAATGGCCAATATGCACATAAAAATATGTTCAACATCATCTTACATTACAAAAATGTTAAAACAGCTATTTAAAAATGTGCTTCACATATATGGTGTTCATTGCCTGGAAGAATTAACATCATTAAAATGTCCATACTACCCAAAGCAATCTATAGATTCAATGCAATTTCTATTAAAATACCAATGGCATATTTCATAGATCTAGAACAAATATCCCAAAAATTTACATGGAACCAAAAAAGGCCCCAAATAGTCTTATCAATCTTGAGAAAGAAGAACAAAGATATATGCATCCCTATGTTCATTGCAGCATCATTTACAACAGCCAAGCTCTGGAAATAGCCCAAGTGCTCACCAGTAAATAAGTGGATAAAAAAGCTGTGATACATTTACACAATGGAATACTATTCAGCCATGGGGGGAAAAGGAACTTTTACCTTTTGTGACAGCAAGGATGGACCTGGAGACTATTATGCTAAGTTAAATAAGCCAGTCAGAGAAATACATATACCATATGATCTCTTTCATATATAGAATCTAATGATAAAATAAACTATGGAACAAAATAGAAACAGGGGCATGGATACATGGAATAGACTGA